GGTGGAGGGGAACGTACGCGCCCGAACTCTCGCACTTGAGCCGGCAGACTCGCGGAGGCGAGCACGCGCACGCGGTGTTGTGGAGCCGACGCCGACGCGCGGTGCGTCGGCGTCGGCGGCGGCGTCCGAGGGCGGACGTCGCCGGGCGGCGTCCGCGCGGTGCCGGAGCAGCCGCGAGGTCGTCGTCGTCGTGTTCTCGTCGTTCTCATCTCGTTCTCATCTCGTTCTCATCTCGTCGTTCTCATCTCGTCGTCGTGTTCTCGTCGTCCTCTTCGCGTTCTCATCTCGTCGTTCTCATCTCGTCGTCGTGTTCTCTCGTCGTCGTGTTCTCCTCGTCCTCTTCTCGTTCTCATCTCGTCGTTCTCATCTCGTCGTTCTCATCTCGTCGTTCTCATCTCGTCTTTCTCGTTTCGTCGTCATGTTCTCATCGTCCTCTCTTCTCGTTCTCATCTCGTCGTCCTCATCTCGTCTTTCTCGTCTCGTCTCGTCGTCATGTTTTCGTTGATGGAGGCATCTAGTAGTAGTATGCATATCCACGGCCAGTGTCGCAGTCGTCGAAGTCGCAGGGGCCGCTCGCGCAATTGCCGAAGGCCCAGTCCGGGCACGACTGAAGACCCGATTCGTGGAACATATACGTCATGCCCGACAAGAAGCCGCCGAAATCATTGGGGATGTCCGTCACCTTGGACACGTCCCAGGCGCTGATGTCCTGGTCGAAGGCGGCAGCTTCGGAGAACGCGTAGCCCATGTTCGTCACCTTCGACGTGTCCCAGGCGCTGATGTCCTGGTCGAAGGCGGCAGCTTCGGAGAACGTGCCGCTCATGCCCGTCACCTTCGACGTGTCCCAACCGCCGATGTCTTGGTCGAAGGCGGTGGTGCCGTAGAACGCTTGGTTCATGTTCGTCACCTTGGACACGTCCCAGGCGCTGATGTCCTGGTCGAAGGCGGCGGTCACCTGGAACGCGTAGCCCATGTCCGTCACCTTCGACACGTCCCAGCCGCCGATGGGTTGGTTGAAGGCCTGGAGCTCCTTGAACAGGGAGGCCATGGTCGTCACCTGGGACACGTCCCAGCCGCCGATGTTCTCGTGGCGGCTCGCCGCGCGCCCGCGCCGACGTCGAAATGGACGCCATACGCTCCTCGCGACCCGCGTTGATCGTTTTAGTATGCAGCAGGAGCTGCAGCGCCTGCGAGATCGTGTGGCTCAGCTCCAGGGGGATGGTTCGGATCTTCTGCCTGCAGCTCCAGTCCTAGCTGCTCGAGTTCTACCTGCTCCAGGTGCACTTGCTGCAGTTCCACCTCCTCCAGTTCTTCCAGCAGCTCCAGGTCTATGCCCTTTAGCGGCGCCGCTGCGGACGACCGGAGCGCCTGTTCCAGGCGCTGCTCTACCTGCAGCTCCAGTCCTAGCTGCTCGAGTTCTACCTGCTCCAGGTGCACTTGCTGCAGTTCCACCTCCTCCAGTTCTTCCAGCAGCTCCAGGTCTATGCCCTTTAGCGGCGCCGCTGCGGACGACCGGAGCGCCTGTTCCAGGCGCTGCTCTACCTGCAGCTCCAGTCCTAGCTGCTCGAGTTCTACCTGCTCCAGGTGCACTTGCTGCAGTTCCACCTCCTCCAGTTCTTCCAGCAGCTGCAGGTGCTGCTTTTCCAGTCCCTATTTCGAGCTATTTGATGTCCTCGCTTTCGAGCAATCGCCCTTGGATTTGGCGCAGCAGACCGAATCGCCGTCATACTTGCAGACCTTGTTACTCTCCTCTGAGAAGGCACCGCAACTCACGGTGTAGAGGTTGTCTTCGCAAAACAAGATGTCGGCGTCGCTGCACGACTTGAGGCGACGACGAACGTCCGCGCCCGCGACGTCCACGTCGAAGCGCTCCCGGAGGGCCTCGACGTCGGTCTCGACGACGTCTGTCAGGAAGGTCATGAGGGCCGACGGCTCCGAGCCGAGGCGCGCCGAGACGCCGGTCGCAAAAGCGAGCAGGACGAGCTTCATCGGCGATCCGGACAAAAGATGATGGGGGGGGCTTGATCAGACCATCGGCTTCGAACGCCATGCGGCCGCGACCGCGCGCGGACCTCGGACCTCGTCGGCCTACTAGCCCCTACGCCCGCGCGCCCCGTCGCGCGCGGCGACGCGTCCTACGCGTCGAAGACCGCACCGTGCGGCCGCGGCCGCGGGACCGCGAAGGCGGCCTAGGCGGGCGCGGGTTGGCCTTCTTCTTGGCCGGCGCCTTCTCGCCGCCGGCTTGGCCTTCGCCTTGGACACGGTCCGCGTCTTGGCCGGCGCCTCGGACGCGGTCGACTTGCCACCGCGCTTGCGGCTGCGGCGCTGAAAGCCGCGGTCTACGCGCGCACGCGGCCGTCGGCATCGTGTGTTGGCGCACGATGGCGCAGGGGACGCCCCGGGGCGGTTCACGTCGACTCCGAACACCTCCGTCGCGTTGGGTACAATGAAAACACCGATTAACCTCGGCTAGAAGGGTAGCTTCGCGTGGCGGTTGACGTCCTTGTAGAGGAGGTAGCGGAACTCGCCGGGCCCGCCGGCGTAGCAGGCCTGGGGGCAGAAGGCGCGCATCCAGATGAAGTCGCCTGCGCGGGGGTCGCGCGTCGGGAGGCGCGCGTTCGCGCGCGCGGCGACGCCGGGCGGCCACCGGCCTCGACCTCGATCCAGTCGCCGTTGACGTTGTAGACGGCCTTGCCCTCGAGGACGTAGAGGCCGTGCTCCATGACGTGCGTCTCGAGGAAGGGGATGACGGCGCCGGGCTGGAAGGTGACGATGTTGCAGTGCATGTCGTGGCGGAGGTCGTCCGACGCGACCTGCGGAAAAAGACGTCTCCGGCCGCCGCGAAAAAGAGAAGCAAGAGACGCGGCGCGACGCGCGAAGCGCGTCGTCGCCCAGGCGCCGTTCGTGTCGGGCATGGGCGTGCGCGGCGTCGCGGCGTCGCTCGTGACGAAGAACTCGGGCGCGGGCGTGTTCGGGGCCGGCTCGTAGCGCTTCCGCACCCAGACGAACGCCGCGTCGTCGTCGCCGGCGTTCTTCAGCGCCCATCGCGCGCCGGGCGGGACGAAGGCGAAGCCGCCGGCCTCCATGGCGTGGGTCTCGCCGCCGTGGGTCAGCGCGAGGGATCCGCGGAGCACGAAGAGCGCCCCCTCGGCCGCGTCGTTCGGCTCCGGCGCGTCGGAGCCGCCGCCGGGCGCGACCTCGACGACGTACTGGGAGAAGGTCTCCGCGAAGCCGCTCAGCGGCCGCGCGAGGATCCAGCTGCGCGTGCGCTCCCAGTTCGGCAGCGGCGACGTGACGATGTCGCGCAGGACGCCGCGCGGGATCATCGCGTACGCCTCCGTGAACTTCGCGCGCGACGTCAGCAGGTCGCTCTGCGGCGGGTGGCCGCCGGGCGGCGACGCGTAGGTGGCCAGCGGTCTCGCGCAGCGCGACGCTCTCGGCGCAAGGCGCGCGAAGCGGAACATCGCGCCGTCACACTTTGGCTTGAGGGGGGCTTGAGGGGAAGATGCACAGATGATGCACAGCCGCACCTCTAAATTTAGAAGGTGAGGTCTAGGCAATGCCTTCGTGGCCTGCAGCCCGGCGGTAGCAAGACATTTCTTCGTTGCACGAGGCTTGGTCACCAATCGAGACGATGCGCCCGTTGATGGCTGCCCTCGTCGCCGTCGCCTTCGCTACGGATCCGGACACGACGAGCACGGACACCTACGCGATCTACGACGTGCTCGCCGTGGGCCGCTGCAACGGCGGCGACGGCGAGGCCATCTGGATCGACCCCATGGACGTGGCCGAGATCGAGCGCTACAACGCGCGGCACAACACGTCCTACGACGCGTCCACGCGCGACGACTTTGGCAAAGTCCTGGCGCCGGGCGACTGCTGGGGCACGTGCGCGCTGCGCCTCGGCGCCGCGCTCGTCGCCGCGGACTTCCAGTTCAGCCTCTCGGACTGCAACTGCTACGACGCCTGCGCCTGCCTCGGCTACCGCTGGGTGTCGTCGAAGGACAAGAAGGCCTACACGGTCCTGCCCGCGGGCGCGGACCTCCCCCGGCCCTGCGACGCGCCGACCTACGCGCCGACGACGGCGCGGCCGACGGCGCCCCGACCGACGCCCGGGCCCGCGCCCGCGCCGCGCCCGCGGCCCACGGCCCCGCGGCCCTACGAGGCCGCCCGCGAGGCGCGCGCGCGGCGGCCGCAGCGGTGGTCCCGGGACCGGCGGCCCCACGCGTCCGAGGCGCCCATGCGCAACTTCTACGCGCAGTCGCTCTCCGTCTTCGTCCTCGTCGGCTTCGTCGCCTGCGGCCTCTCCTGCGCGCGCGGCGCGCTCCGGCGGTGCGCCGCGGCCGCCGCCGCGGCGCTGGCCGCGCGCGCGGCGGTCTACCGCGGCGGCGCCGCGCGGCCCGAGGAGCGCGCGTCGCTGGTGGTCCCGCCGGACCCGGACCTCGACGCGTCCCGCACGCTCGAGATCGACGGCTAAAAAAGGCAATATTGCTTCAACGAGCTATCCAATCAGTTCACGACTGAGGGGGCGCCCGCGCCGCTCGGGCCGCAGCGCCCGCTGCGACGGCGCCATGGCGGCCTGCTGCGCCGAGCGCTGCAGCGGGCAGGTGAAGACGCTGAGCGTCGTCATCGCGCTCTTCTCGCTCATCGCGTTCGTCCAGTTCTTCTTCGCGCTCTACGCCCACAGCAACGCGCTGCTCGTGGACTGCGCGTCCATGGCCGTCGACACGCTGACCTACGCCGGGTCGCTCTGGGGCGCCTGCGCGACGGCCGACGGCGGCGGCGCGGGCGACGGCGGCGCGCGGCGCGCGCTCGCGACGAGCTGCGCGTCCATCGTCGTCCTCTACGGCGTGACGGCCTGGGGCCTCGCGGGCGCGGTGCGCGACCTGCTCGCGCGCGATCTCGACGACGACCTGGACGCGGCGGTCGTCCTCGCCTTCGGCGTCTTCGGCCTGGTCTTCGACGCCGCGGCCGTCTTCGCGTTCCGCGTCTTCGTCGACGGCGACGGCGGCGCCGCCGCGGGCGAGTCCGCGGACGACGGCGAGGACCGGGGCGTCATGCTCCGGACCTGGGACGACGACGACGACGGCATCGGCGACCGCGCGTCGGGCGTCATGCTGCGGACCTGGGACCGCGGCGACGGCGGCGACGGCGAGGCGCCGGCGCTCGCGCGGTCGGCCGACGACATGAACATGTGCAGCGCCTTCAGCCACGTCCTCGCGGACTGCATCCGCTCCGTGACGTCCATCGCCCTCGGTCTGGCGGTCCTGCTGGACCCGCGGCTCAACGGCGCGCGCTGGGACGCCTACGCGACGGTCGTGATCTCGAGCACGGTCCTCCTGGGATCCACGGCGCTCGCGGGCGACTGGTGCCGCCTCGCCCGCGGCCTCCGCGGCGCCGCGCGACGACGGGCCGAGGCCGAGAAAGCCGTCGAGCTCGTCGACCGCGAGGCGCCGGATCGGCCGCCGGATCGGCCGCCGGACGACGCGCGCCCGACCGCCCTCGTGTAGTCACCCGACCTCGCTCGACGGTGTCGTTTCGGGGGGTTCCACTGTACACGCGCGCCCCGAGGCCCGGCCCTAGGTCGCGCGGAAGGTCGCGATGATCGCGGGGAGGAAGCGGGAGACCTCGTCGTTCGCGGCGATCGTGTCGACGGGCGCGGACGCCCAGGCCGTGAGGATGCGGTCGGGCTTGAGCACGCTCACGCCGATCTCCTTGCGGACGATGGGCACGTCGTTGGGCACGTCGAAGTAGGCCTTGCCGACGAACTCGACGCGGTCCGCCGCGACGAGCGCCGCGGACGTCAAGCGGCAGCTGCTCCACGCGAGCTCCTGCGCCCGGTCCTCGAGGAGCTGCGTCGCGAAGGCCTCGACGGCGGCGGCGGCGCCGCCGCCCTTCGCGGGCCTCGCGGCGGGGCTCGGCCACGCGGGCGTCGCCGCGCGCGGCTGGCACGTCACGGCGATGACCGCGGACTGGCCGAGGTCCGCGGCGGCGAAGCGCGTGCCCTTGGACGGCGCGCCGCCCAGGAGCTCCGGCAGGGGCTGCGTGCGCATCCAGTTGCGCGTCGGGTACGCCACCTCGAAGCCGTCCTCGAGGTCCCGGAACACCTTGCCGGGGTCCAGCTGCTCCGTCGGCAGCACGGCGTCGCCCTCGGCCCAGCGCGGCGCACCGGCGCCGGCGGGCGCGAGCGGCGCCAGGGCCGCGGCGGACGCCGCGGCCGCGGCCTCGGCGATGAGCTCGCGCCGGCCCAGGGGCGCGCGGAGCGCGCAGGCGGCGAGCGGCAGGAGCAGGAGTCGCATCCTCGTGGTTGGGGCGCACGGAGCCTCGCGAGCGACGCTTTTCTTTTGCGCAGATGAACGGAGCCTTGCGAGCGATGCGACGGCGGTTGCAAGTCGCGTACGCAGCGGGCGCGGGCCGTCGAGTACGCCCGCGAACAAGGGGGCTCCAGCGCAGATGGCTTTTGGTCGAGAGCGCGCGCCGGCACGCGTCGTGAGAGCGCTGCGTTCATGATGCCGGAACTTTTACCCGGCACGCGTCAGCTGCACTCAAAGCCCGTCCCCGCCGGCGGCGATGGCGTCCCAGACGTCGCAGTTCGCCGCGCCGACCTTGGGCTCGTCGCGCATCTTCATGTCCGCCGTGGGCTTGAGGACGACGTTGCGGTCCTCGGCCGCGCGGGGCCACTCGCCGAGGGCGTCCGAGCCGCCGCGTGTGTTCGGGTCGCCGGACGCGGCGAAGTTCGTCCAGAATTGCCCCACCTTCTTGGCGAAAGCGGCCTCCGTCGCGTCGAAGGCGCAGCCGAGGCACGACTTGTCGTAGGTCGGCCCGGGTTCGCTGCAGTTCGTGTAGCCGAGGTTCATCTTGATGGGCTGGCCGAAGACGAAGCTGATCTCGTCCTGGTGCATAGAGCCGAACTCCGGCGGGTGCCAGTTGGCCACGGCCGTGCACGTCTCGTCGCTCTGGAACCAGTAGTCGAAGCGGTACAGGTAGGCCTTGGCGCCGGCCTCCTCGAAGCCCGCGGCGGTGCGCCGGAGGCCTAAAGACGAAGCGATCACGCTCGTAGAACACAAGGAGACGCCGCCACGCGCCGCAGAGCATGGAGTCGCTCGCCTTCCAGCCCATGCGGCGCGAGTTCTCCCGCGGGTCCGCCGTCGCCGGGTAGCGCCGCTCGAGCTCGCGGAACGCCTTCGCATCGCCGCGCGCGTCCTCGCGGAGCGACGCGACGTAGTCGCGCTCCTTCACGGGCCCCTTGTTCATGATGAAGAGATACGAGTCGTTCGTGTTCGCGCCGAGGACCAGCGCCACGTCGTTGACCTCGGACCTGGCCAGGAGCCGCGCGGGCGCGTCGGGGAGGAGGAAGCCGTCGACGACGGGGCCCCAGGACGTCGCCGCGGAGCAGTCGTTGGGCGTGAAGCAGTGGACGTCCTGCGAGTAGACGAGGTCGTCGCCCGACGCGTTCGCGACGCAGGCCTTGCGCGTCGCGTTGCCGCACCCGAGGTAGTCGGCGACGACGCGCTCGTTCTTGAGCGCGGACCGCGCGTCGCCCGCGTCGAGGCCGCCGGACTCGGAGACGATGCCCTCGAGGAGGCCCCCGGACGACGGGAGCACGGCGTGCAAGTTGCACAAGCTCGCGCCGGAGCTCTGGCCGAAGATCGTGAGGCGCGTCGGATCGCCGCCGAAGGCGCCGACCTCGCGCCGGAGGAAGACGAGCGCGGCCTGGATGTCCGTCAGCGCCCAGTTGCCCGTCGCGCGCTCGCCGACGTCCTCCTCGAAGGCCAAGAACCCAAAGGGCCCCACGCGGTAGTTGATGGACGCGACGACGGCGTGCTGCGCGCTCGCGAGCATGCTCGCGTTGTAGGGCTCGGCCTCGCCGAAGTCGTTGCTGCCGCCGGGCACGAACATGATCACGGGCAGCGCCGCGTCGGCGGCCGCGCCCGCGGGGCGCCAGACGTTGAGCACGTGGCAGCCGTGCTCGACGCCGTAGGTCGTGACGTTCGTCAGCACCTGCAGACAGGCCGGCCCGAAGTAGGAGCCGTCGAGCGTGCCCTCGAGCGGCGCCGTGCGCACGACGGCGGGCTCGAAGCGCGGCGCGTCGCCGTAGGGGATGCCCAAAAACTCGTCGGCGACGTCGCCCAGGGCGTTGCCGCGGACGGCGCCGATGGTCATGGACACGACGGGACGTTCCCGCGCGCTCGCGCCGGCGGCGAGCAGCAAAACAGCGGCGAGTTTCATCATCGCAGGATGGCAGAGCGCTCGCGATCGAAGGGCTGCCCTTTGAAAGAGAGCGGTAGTTTCAGTGCTTCTGTTCCTTCCATCAACAGTTGTGGCAATTCCATGAAGGCATGTCTCTGCTCCGCCCACCTACGCTGCGACGACCGTCGCGGCACCTCGCCGTGCTCGGCCTCGCAAGCATCGGCCGCGCGCTGTCGTCATCATCGAGAGAGTACGCTTTGACGCCGCGCGCCGCGGTGGCGGTGACGGTTCGGCGGCCGACGAGTCCGCCGAGCTATTGCCTGATCCAGCGGGGCAAGCCGCCCGGCGAAGGCAGGTGGAGCATTCCCGGCGGCGCCCTGGAGCTGGGCGAGGAGACGCTGGCCGGCGCGCGGCGGGAGCTCGCCGAGGAGACGGGCCTGCGCGACGGCGTGTCGTGGCACGGCGCGCCGTTCACGACGTCGGACGCCATCTACCGCGACGACGACGGCCGCGTGCGCTTCCACTACCTCATCGCTCAGTGCTTCTGCGAGGCGGCGCCGACCGCGGCGCTCGCGGCGGGCGACGACGCGCTGGACGCTAAGTGGTTCACGCTCGACGACGTCGCGAACGCGGGCGGCGACGTCGCGGGGAACTGCTGGCGGATCCTGGCGCGCGCGGAGGCGCTCTTCGCCGCGGGCCTGCTCCCGGGAGACGACGAGGGGCGTCCGTAACTTATCGTGGCAGAACACGACACGATGTCCCCGAGGATGCCAAAAGTCGAGGCAAAGAAACACAACACACCGGCCCGTTAGCGCGCGCCCTCGACTCGGCACGCCTCGCACTCGCGCCCCGCCTGCGGCCGCGAGAGGCACGCGTCGCAGAGGAGGAGCTTCCCCGCGCAGGACGCGCAGGCGTGGGAGCCGCGGTACACGTCCCAGGGCGCGGCGCAGCCGTCGCAGGCTCCGAGCACGTCCGCGGAGCCGCGCGGCGCGGCGCCGTGGCGGTTCCGGCGGTCGAAGACGTAGTTCGCGCCGACGAAGTGGCCGCCGTCGCCGTGGGCCTCGAGGTACTTGACGATGCCGCCGCGGAGGTGGAAGACGCGGCCGCGGTCCGCCTCCGGGAGCCGCGTCCGCAGCGCGGCCGTCGCGCGCTCGCAGCGCACGCCGCCCGTGCAGTACATGAGCACGTCGCGGCCCCGGAGGGCCGCCCGCGTCGCCGGCGCGTCGAGCCAGGCCCCGAAGTCCGCGAAGGTCCGCGTCCCCGGGTCGAGCGTCTCGAGGCCCGCGGCCCGGAAGCCGCCGACGCGCGTCTCGTAGCCGTTGCGCACGTCGACGAGCACCGGCGGCCGCGCGCCGCCGGCGTCGGAGAGCCGCGCGTGGAACGCGAACGGGTCCAGGGCCGCGCCGGGCCCCGCGGCGTCCAACGCCCGCCGCTCCTCGGCGCCCGCGCCGAAGCCGCAGAGCTCCTCCGCCGTCCACACGACGAGCCTCGGCCAGGCGGCCCCGGGGCCGCAGGCCTCGACCTTGTACTCGACGCCGGGCCAGCCGTCGCCGGGGACGGCCCGGAGCGCGGCGACGAAGGCCGCGACGTCGCCGCGGGTCCCCGACAGCGTCGCGTTGACGCCCTCGGCCGCGACGCGGACGCGGCCCGCGAGGCGCCACGCCGACGCCAGGGCGTCGAGCCACGCGGCCGTCGCGTCCCGGCCCGCCTCGCTCCAGGCCGGCGACGCGTAGTGGTAGAACCCGAGGAGCGCGTCGTGCGCCGGCGCGCCGGGACCGCGCGGCGCCGCGCCGGCGCGCGCGACGCGCAGGGACCCGGACGCGACGCCGCCCCGGGCGTCGACGACGCGCCGCGGCACGCGCTCGAGCGCCCAGAGCCCCCGGGCCGCGCCCACGTCCAGGAGCGCGCCGAGCTTCCGGAAGCCGAGCGCGCGCGCGTCGAGCGCGGAGCCGTGGAGCGCGGCGTACACCGTCGGGAGCTGCGCGGCGTCCACGGGCCCGTCGGCGCCGTCGACGACGGCGGCGACGCGGTCGAGGGCGGCGTCGACGGCCGCGGCGTCCGCGACCTCGGCGACGGGCCCCTTCTTTTGGTGCTTCTGCGGCCGCCGCATGGACCTAGCGGAGGATGTCGTCAGTCTCAGCCCGGCGGCCGGCGGGGGGGGTGGGCCGCTCCGGCGGTCGGTCCGATCGTCGATCGCTGTTGGCGTCGAGTAGCACGGAACGCGGAGAGTGGAGGCTCCGGATCGCGACTCTAGTATGAACGACGCCGCGGGAGGGATGCGCGAAAGGACGCCGGCTCGTGCGGCGTGGATGCGGACGACGCTTGCGCTTCAGCGCCCGAGAGGGCCGTGACCCTGTGCGCAGCGCAGCGCAGCGGGCCGCGGCGCCGACCGAGTTTCCGAGGCCGCGGGCGGTGCGCCGAGCGCCACTGAAGTGGGCGACAACTGTGGTGAGGCGAAAGCTCGGCGGCATCGTCGTCGAGTTGCCCTGCACCTGTGGACGGCACCATGCCGAAGGGCGGCGGGGCGCTGGAACTGACAATGATGGAAGCAGCCCAACGACGCGCCTGACTGGATCGCGCGGATGGGCGCGATCATCTCGGCGCCGGCGTCGGAGCTGCCGGACCGCGTGGACCGCGCGACGGCGGCGCGCCTCGCCGGCGCCGCCTTCGACGAGGCGCGCTGGGCGGCGGCCGCGGGCGCCGACGGCTGCGTCGGCCGCGACGAGCTCCTCGCCGCCGGCGCGGCGGCGCCGGCCGACGCCGGCGAGTCGGCGACGCTGCGCTTCATCCACGTCAACGACATCTACGACCTCGCGTCGCTGCCGTCCCTCGCGACGCTCGTCCGCGACCGGTCGGCCGGCGCCGATCGAGTCGTCGTCACGTGCGGCGGCGACTTCCTCGCGCCCTACCTGCTGAGCGGCCTCGACCACGGCACGGGCATGGTCGACTGCCTCAACGCGCTGGGCTGCACGCACTGCTGCTTCGGGAACCACGAGTGCGACGCGCCGCGCGGCGCGGGAAACGGGCGCCGCGCGCCCAACCGCAGAGGCTCCTCTCTCGGCCGTTTCCCGCTTGTTTCGGCTCTAGTTTGGACGAGCGACCATCCCTCGGAGCGGTCTCGACGCGTGGATACTGTTTCCGGAACGATCGCGCGCGGCACGCTCGCGTCGAAGCGACGTCGCATCGCCCCGTTCCCGCCCAGGTCCCGCACGCGGCGCTCCTCGAGCGCATCGCGCAGTTCGGCGGCGTCTGGATCAACAGCAACATGCCCGGCATCACGGAGGGGTCGCCCCTCCACCCGCTGCCGGAGTACGACGTCGTCGAGGTCGCGAGCCGGAGCGGCGGCCACACGCGGCGCGTCGCGGTCCTCGGCCTGCTCTGCGACTACGCGCAGCTCTACCGGAAGTCGGCGTTCAACGGCCTCGCGGCCGCGGGCGGCATCGAGCCGCCCATGGACGCGTTGAAGCGACTCACCGGCGCGCTCCGAGACGCCGAGCAGCCCGACGCCGTCGTCGCGATGACGCACCTGCTCGACGCCGAGGACGACGCGATCTGCGCGACGGGCCTCTGCGACGCGGTGCTCGGCGGCCACGACCACGCGGTCACGGCCCGCGCCTCGAGCGGCGTGCCCCTGGCCAAGGCGGGCATGGACGCGACGCACGCCGTCGTCATGGACCTGTCCTGGAGCGACGCGCGGGCGGCGACGCCGGCGATCCGCACGACCGTCGAGCGGACCGCGGACTTTGCGCCCGACGCGGAAATCGCCGCGCGCGTCGCGTCGCACCTCGCCAAGGTCGAGGCCATGGACGAGATGGTGTTGAGCTCCGTGCGGCGCGTCCGCCGCTGTGCCGAAACCAACCACTGGTTTGGGGGGTCCCCACCAAACTTGAGAATTCTCTAGCTCGGTCAAATCAAAGTCGATTCGGCTGATTTTTGGACGGATCGATCGCTCTCGTCGAGTTCTCGAAGCACAGTGAAAGAGTCTGGTCCAAATCGTTCGAATACGCTCACATTGAAGTCGGGTTGAAGATTTGGTTTCGGCACAGGTCCGCCGCGACCTCTTCCCGGGCCTCCGCGTCGACGACGCCGCGGCGGCGCGCGGCCGCCGCGCGTCGCTGCGGCGGAGCGCCGCGGACGCGACGCCGCCGCTGACGTCCGTCGGCGTGCGCAACGGCGAGCGGTCCATGGCGACGCTCCTGGCGTCGATCGTCGCCGCGGAGCTCGGCGCGGACTGCTGCGTCCTCGAGGCCGGCGGCGTCCGGGGCAACGCGACGTACGAGGCGAGCCTGACCTTCGCGCACCTCCGGGCCGAGCTGCCCTTCGAGAACCTCATGGCCGTCGTGCCCGTCGACGGCGCGTCGCTGTCGGCCTTCGTCCGCGACTCGCGCGACCGGCCGGACCTCCGGAGCCCGCGCGGCTACGCGTTCGTCCTCCACGGCGACGTCGGCCTCGCGTACTGCCCGGAGCGCAAGGCCGTGACGACGGTCCGCGGCGAGCCCCTGGACCCGGACCGACTCTACACCGTGGCGACCTGCGTCGACCTGGGCTTCGGCTCCGGCAAGAACCAGGGCAGCAAAAGAGAGCGAAATTCCCAACTTCAAAGCCTCATATCTCGGCCGTTTTCCACTCGTTTCGGCTGATTTTTGGACGAGCGATCATCTCTCGGAACGGCCTCGAAGCGTGGATGCTTTTCCCGGAACGCGCGCGCGCGGAACACTCATGTTGAAGATAACTTGAATCACCCTTTTCCTGCCCAGGCAAGAACGCGGCCATGGCCGCGTACGCGGCGCGCCACGGCGACCGGCTCCCGGACCGGGACGCGGCGATCCCCGCGAAGACGCTCGTCATGAAGTACCTCTGCCGCGAGCTCTGGAAGCTCTTGCCGGCCTTCGACGACGTCGACGCGGACCGCTCCGGGTTCCTGGACCACGACGAGGTCAAGCGGACCTACGTCGCCGCGCTCATGGCCGTCCACGACGACGGCGCGCCCGAGTGCGAGTCGGAGAAGATCGCCGCGGAGAACATGGTCGACCAGCTCATCGCCTGCCTCGACACGAACAGCGACGGCAGGGTCGACCGCCGGGAGTACGCCGCCGTCGCCCACGGGGCCCACTAATTCGCCTCTAACGCCGCGCGGATCACGGGCGTGAGCTCCGCGTTCGACGGCGCCTCGGCGAACTCGGCGGCCTTGGCGTACTCGCCCGTGCCCGGGTCGACCCAGACGTCGTAGGGCGCCGGGTACTTGCGGTTCACGACGACGCGCACGGGCAGCGCCGTGTTGCCGCCGGCGACGACGAGCGGCCGGAGCGCGTAGACCTCCGTCGCGTCGCGGTACTCGATGGGCTCCGTCTCGAAGGCCCCGTTGACGACGACGACGGGCACGCCCCGCGCCGCGCCCGCCTTGAACGCGCGCCGCGTCGCGACCATGTCGTCCGTGGACGACGGCGCGAAGACGACGACGACGGCGTCCTCCGGCGCGGCGTCGTCGCCGACGGGCGCGTCGAAGCGCCGCAGGAGGGGCTCCCGCGACGCCGCGCCGTCGCGCGCCGGGGGCGCGCCCTTGGGCGCGGTCGCGTCGAGCACGAGCGCGGCGCCGTAGGGCAATTTCTCGACGAGGTCCCGGGCCCAGGCGTCGACGACGGCGCGGTCGAACTTGGGCTGCTGCGGGTCGAGGCCCTCGACGCGCGCCTCGACGAGCACGCGCCGCTTGCCCTCGAGGACGGCCGCGAGGATCGCCTCGCCCGCGTCCGCCGCGACCTCGGCGACGTCGAGCGCGACGCCCGCCGGCGGCCGCGGCCGCCGCCTGCCGGCGTCGTCCCGCGCCTGCGCCGACGCGAGGTTCGGCGGCATGTCGTAGGTCTCCCTCGGCTGCGCCGGCTCGGCGGCGACCGGCGGCGGCGGCTCGGCGGCGACCGGCGGCGGCGCCTCGGGCGGCGCCTCGGCGGCGACCGGCGGCGGAGCCTCGGGCGGCGCCTCGGCGGCGACCGGCGGCTCCTCGGCGATGATTGGCTCCGACTCCGGCGCAGCGGGCATCGCGAAGAGCGACTCCATCCGCGCCCGCATGGCGGCGAGCTCCGGGTCTTCATCGTCCTCGGAGGCGGCCCTGAGGACGAACGACCGGTCCGCGAACGAATCCTTGGTCGCTGCTGCTTGGCCAGCGAAGCCATGGGGCGGCACGAGCGCCTCCGCCACGCACAACGTTGCGCACAGTGCGACGATCCTCATTGCCATGCGCACAGGAATCAATGTTGAGGCGCTGCAAGGCGGGGACAACATCGCCCCCAGCCAGGGGGCCGCCGATCCCGATTTCAAGTCTTTATCAAACAGCCGGCGCGCGGCGCCTAGTGGCCCTTGGCCTTCTTCTTCTTCTTCTTGGACTTGGACTTCTCCTTGGGCTGGCCCATGGCGGCGTAGGCGGTCTGGTTGTTGATGGGGACGAAGGCCTGGCCCGTGCGCGCCTGGGCGTGCTGGAGGATGGAGAGGGAGCCGGCGCCGGCGGACATCTTGATGGAGCGCTGGCGCTCGGCCTCGCGCGCGGCGAACTTCTCCTGCTTCTTCTTGCCCGGCCCCTTGCCGTGGAACTTGTGGCACATCTGGCGGAAGGCCTCCTTGCGCGTGAGGAGGCGGCCGTCGGCGTCGCGGTACTCGAGCTTGATGGGCTTGAACTGGAGCGAGGGGTCCGGCGGCGCGGCCGGGTCGTCCTCGGTGCCGTCCTCGAAGATCGTCTGGTCGCGCGCGCGGCCGACCTTCTGCTCGACGTGCTTGATCTGGACGTCGCCCGTCTGGCGCAGGAGGCCCATGGTCGCGGCCATGCCGTCGCGCGCGAGGGGCTGCTTGTGGAGGAAGTCGATGAGGTCGCCGCGGTCCTCGGCCTCCGCGGCGGCGAGGCTCTCGTCGTCGCTGTCGCTCATCGCGTCGGAGTCGCTCTCGTCCGGCGGCAGCTCGCCCGCCTCCGCCTTGACGGCGGCGCCGCCCGCGGCGGCGAGCGCGTCCGCCGCGGCCTCGGCGGACGCCTCGGCGTTCTCCGCCGCGCGCTCCTCGAGGCGCGCGTGGAGCCGCGCGGTGAACTCCGT